GGGGGGGGGGGGGGGGGGGTAATGCAGGTCCACCAGCCGACACCCACACACCAGCGGACGGCCAGTGTACAAGTGTGTGAGGGGGGCGGGGGAGGGAAAGGAGGAGCGCACAGAACGGATGTCCGTGCTGGCTTATGCAGATCCCCAGAGACTGGGATAACTACGGCAAGGTCATGCTGAAGATGGAGGTAACCTTCGCTGAGTTCAACAAGCTGGACTTCGCCCCCTTCCAGTCAGTGATTTGGCAGACAGATGGACACAAGACCAGGAAGGAGAGGAGACATCCACATGTCGTTTCCTTCTCATCGTTTGCAGAGTGCGCGTCTGGGGCAAGCAGGTGCGTGGGGACGTCGTCAAGTTCTTCGTGTCGGGCACCCAGGACGCCGTGCTTGCAGTCGGCGAGTACGTCACCAAGAACACACAAGTAAGGAGAAGGATTAACACGGACACGAGCCATATGAACCGCTTGTACGTTTCTCTCAGCCCCGCTTACATTGCAATGGCACCGACCAAGTAGGTCATGGAGAAATGTGTGCATTTCGACTGTGTCTCCATCTATGCACCTGCTGGTGTATGTTTGTCATTCAGGACGGTGACGGTGATGAGGGCGGGGCCGACGGTGACGGTGGTGTGGCCAAGCAACAGAAGGTGAGTGAGTCTTGGCCTTCTCTGTGTGGATGGGTTCCTTGTCTCCTTGTCCATGTGTGTGTCTTGTCTTTCTCTGTAGAGCAACAAGAAGAAGAAGCACAACAAGAAGAATCGCAAGAAGAATCACAAGACGGTGAACTGCGCATAAGAGCACTAGACTCATGCATATATGTGCATATGTCATTTCTGCATGCGTCTACATGCCCGTCAGGCGAGCGTTGTCGACCAGGAGGAGGGCGAGACGCCTCCAGCCGACACCATCACCAGCAACATCAACAATAACGACGCCTTCAACGACGTAAGTGGGCGGCGGTGTGGCGGGAGGGATACACATACACACACACGCATGGAGGCAAGGCGGCGACAGACGGACGGGCGGCTTGTGTGTTCCATTCTTTCTTTCTGTCTGTGTCTGCGTGGTCTGTCTGTGTATGTTTGTCAGCCCAAGATGCGCGTCAGCAAGATATTGACGTTCGGCGCCCACGAGTGGCCGGGCTTCGACATCAGCCAAGAGGGCAAGTAAGTCAAGTCACTGATCGACGATCGAGACAACACAAGACCCAGCCACCATCTCACCGGTTGTGTGTGAGTCTCTCTCTCTGTCTGCCCCGCCAGTGCTTCACTTTCGGCGGACGGTACCATCACGATCCCAGTACGGCAATCAAGGCATGAGGGTATGCAGCTCCTATACCGGCGTGCGGCAGACGCCATCAAGGACGCTGACTTGGGGGCCGAGGCCAAGACCGCCAAGCTCCACCAACTCATCCACGACATCGCCGCTGCAACGCCAGGCGGTGAGACGTGGTGCAGTCGGGTCACACACACACACACGTGGACACACACACATGCGTTCGTTCCCTTGCTCTTTGGCGTGGCGTCAGGTGTTGCCCACCAGGAGTGTTATATCGCTTGCTACATTTCATATCCCGACGTCAGTGGAAATGAAGGGACAGCCCTGTCTTTGTCATTGCACGGTGTTCAAGGCCGTGATCGACACGCTGAAGGCCCACCATCCCCCACCTCGCTATGCAGTGGTCATTCACATGCGCGATCCTCATGAAAAGTACAACGCACACATTGTCTATGGTGTCTGCACTGCCCACACACATATGTGTATGCGTGACTTGCAGGTATAGGTGGTCGGTGGAAAAAGCCATTGAATATCTGGCAAGGCGGCGCAGTGGTGAATGGATCAAGGAGAAGCTCATTGATCGTGTGACTGATCGTAACAGTATTAACCCACACAAGTGCCCTCAGTGCCTGCAGATGGATGTGTGTATGTGTGTGTGTGTCTATGTGTGTGTGTCTATGTGTGTATGCAGGAGGTTCGAGAGGAGATGTCCCACGTTCGGCGGTTTGAGGCTTCTGTCCGTGCGGATTTCGGTGAATTGGCCAGCCTTCTCTCTGAAAGCAGTGAGGTAAGATCGCTCTGAGACCTTGTCCAAGACACGTCCTTCTGTCTCACTTTCTTTCCTCTCCTTCATGCAGCGGCTCAGTACTGCGAGCGCGCAGCAAGCTCTCGCCCTCACGGTACACGCACATATGCTCGTGGCGAGAGCGAGATGGCGTTCCCTTGTGGCGAGGCCAGGAGGCCTCTCCCCAAGGGAACCTTACCGTCCAATACCTGGCGCAAAGGCGCCCTTGTGTCCAACGGACGGCGAAACTGACGCAAGGTAAAGCCACAAGAGAAATGCAGCCAAGACAGTCAGCAAGTCAGCAGCGTCACGAGACGTAGACGTCTGTAGAAGGAGCCCGATGCATGAACCGAGTCAAAAGTTCAACCGACCAGAGGGAGGATGTGTGTGTGTGTGTGTGTGTGTGCAGGGGACTCGTGAGGAGATGTCCGAGATTCGAGAGCTTGTCGGTGCTCATCGCTGGCTACATTTTATATTCCGACGAGAGTGAGGAGTTAATGACACGCGGTCCTTGACACCCACCACTCGCCCATCAGGACGCAGCCTCACCGACAGACAGACACACACACACACACACAGAGAGAGAGAGGGACGGGAGAGCAGGGAGACTTCTCCGTATTGTTTGTTGGCTGATTCATTCATTCATTCATTGGCTGGTATTGGTTGGTTGTTTGGTTGTGTCAGAGGTGTGTGAAGTGACCGAGGTGCTGAGTCTGGGGCTGTTGTCGATGTCGACGCTTATGCATGGTGATGGAGGCGGTGCTCATCGGCACCGCATCCGAGTTGCTTCATCGAATCGCCATGGCTGCTCGTAGACGACACTTGCCCGGCCTGCCTGGCTGCCCGGGCTGGTGGAGACCGGCCGAGTAGTCATTAAGAGCTCGAGTCGTACCTGAGAGGGCGCGGCCTGCAGGTACGTATCATATGGACTGTCGTGTGTATGCGTAAGAGGGTCAAGTGAGGGTGCATGTATGTATGTATGTATGTATGTGTCTGTGCGTGTGTGCGTGCAGCTCCCAGACCTGCTCCGAGGCCACATGGTGATCGACGGGCGACCAGCAGACGTGCTGACGCAGCTGGCGGAGCTGCGTTCCGGGAGGGACCCGCTATTAGGCTACGGCCGCCGCAACGTAGATAGACCAAACACAACACACAACAGCACAGAAAGAAGTGATGGACTGAGTGGGTGGGTTTGGATGGATGGATGCATTCAGGTTGACGTCAAGCGCTGGCTGCTGTTCATCGCCAGCAGGGACTTCGACATCAGCGAGACGACAGACGTCAAGGTGCGTCCATACATCGATCGTATGTACACGAGAGAGAAGCCATCCATTCAGAGTACATGCCATCAATCTCTCTCTCTCTCTCTCTGTTTGTGTGTGTGTGTGTGTATACATGTGTCCTCCATCCATCCATCCATTGCAGTTGATCGAGCGGCACCTGAGGAACAAGACGTACATGGTCGATGTGTGCCCCCCGTCGATGACCGTCGTTGACCTGGCGATCTACGCTTCTCTTTGGCGGTGGATGGTGAGACATCGAAAGCAAGCGTGCACTCCCACACACATCCACATGATCCACATATAGCTTTTCCTCCGTGTGTGGTGTCTGTCGGTGCAGTCATCTGTGTCTGTGCAGTCGGTACGGACGTACCCCCACGTCATCCGGCACGTCCAGCACATCCACAAGGTCGCCAAGGCCCGAGGGATGACCATGGACACGATGGCGATGCCGTATTTGTGTGCAGGAGATGCGTGAGGAGCCGGCCGACCTTCGCCAGCTGGTCGGCGTAACGGTGGAGGACGCTTGGGGGCAGGGAGGGGGCTAGTTGGGGGGATGATCAGATAGACAGACAGACAGGGTTGGGCGTCTAGGGTGGCTGGACACTGTGACAGCGGTACACAACACACACACACACACACACACAGAGACAGAGAGAGGGAGGGGGAGGGAGGAAGGGAGGGAGGGAGAGAGGCACAAGGCCAGCCACAGCACTGCCTCCGTTTGCCCATTCGTACCAACCCACCCAAGTGCCCTCAGTGCCGGCAGATGTGTGTGTGTGTGTGTTCAGGAGATTCGTC